CTTTCAACTTGCCAAAGATTAAAACTAGATCCCTATCTTTCACCCTGCACTAAACTAAAATCCAAGTGGATTAAAGATATAAATATCAAAACAGAGACACTAAACTTACTGGAAAGTAAATTAGGTAGAACTCTTGAAGACATTGACATAAAAAAAGACTTTATGAACAAATCTTCAGCAGCACGAGAACTTGCACAAAGAATGAACAACTGGGATCTCATTGTATTAAAAAGTTTTTGCAGAGCAAGAGAAACCACCAACGGAGCTAAGAAGCAATCTACAATGTGGGGAAAAAATTTACCAGCTACTCCTCAGACAAAGGACTACTATCTAGAATATATAAAGAATTTTAAAAAACCAGACCCCCCCAATACAAAGACTCGATTCAAAAATGGGCATCTGAAATGAACAGACATTTCTCAGACAAACAAGTAAAAGCAGCAAATAGATATATAAAAAATATTCAACATCACTGGTCATTCGAGACATGCAGATGAAAACAATACTGGGATTCCACCTTACCCCAGAAAGAATGGCTGCTATCAAGAACTCAACTAATAACAAATGCTGCAAGGGCTGTGGGAAGAAAGGAACCCTTTTCCAATGTTGGTGTGAGTGAAGACTGGTGCAACCAGTGTGGCAATCAATACAGAGATATCTCAAAGAACTAGGATTAGAGGTCCCATTTGACGTAGCTATCTCTCTGCTGGGTATCTTTACAAAAGAATTAAAAGATTCTTACCACAATTATATATGTGCACCTATGTTTATAGTGGCATAGTTTGTAATAGTTAAAATTTGGAAACAACCCAAATGCCCATCAACTGGAGACTGGATAAAGAAGATATGGTTTTTCTATAAAATGGAGCACTGCTCAGCCATACAGAATGAGAAACTAGAGACATTTATAGCTAAATGGATGCACACTGAGGTAAAAAAGAAGCCCCCCTTTCTTGGAGGAGCTCCTCTCTACAAAGTCTCCAGCACAAAGATGAACATCACTTGGGAATTTGGCACTAACTCATATTGTTAATTCTATCAAATAGCTTTAAAATTAACCCACAGAAAGATGGAAAGAGGAAATGCCACTGTGACAATAGCACATCCTCATGATGTTCTCCCCATAATTTACTCTAAATGAAGGTAAAAACCAGGACACAGAACTTTTGCCACAGATGGAAAGAGAAAAAGGTATGCCAGTCATCTTGTCCTAATTCATGTGCATTAAAAAAATCCTTCCCTCATGGTTTCCATAGCTACTCCACCCCCTCAGTTTTCAATGCAACTTATCTAAGTGAGAGGTCAGGGACTAACAGCACTGGCACCTTCTCACCCATCACCATGGAAGAGGTTATCAGAGTTATGGTCCATACATGTTGCTGATCAACACCTCAGCTGTCACCAAGGTGGGGAAAGCAAATCCAAACAGAATACTCTCAACCTAAACAATTTCTCCTTTCCCTTGAAGCTTTGAAATTCTTAGTGTATGCTGGTTTAAAAGTATCCTTCAAGCTAAATACAAATTAGAACACAGGTGCAGTATGATTATGTACTATCAAAAAGTAAAAACACAGATTTATTTTCAAAAAATAAATTTTGTATCACCATTTTGTTCCATAAAATAAGAGCATACTTACTTTAATGTTATAGTCATAACAATGAAAAATAAAACTTTTACTCCGGTAAGACAATCTCTCTATTAATGTTCCCCTCTTTGTTTGATTTCTAGGGTCCTTCAACTCCATTGTGGTGGTTTCTTGTCAGCATTGGGAACAGTCCTCTGGCCCTATCCTGATCTCCTGCCTTCCCTGAAAATCATTCCCTATGATTGTTTTCTTCCCATATGTGCTGATTCCATGTTTCCATAGAGTTCCTGTCTTAATGTTCAGACAAAGATTTTAGCAACCCCTTAGTGATGTTCGGGTGTGTTTGTTCTTAGGACTCTCTGGCTCTGAGTTTAACCACAGGGCTTCTGTCTAGTATGGCTGGAAATCCCTCTGCTTTGTTCCCCACTTCTAGTTCAGGGCAGGAGCAATCACCTTAGCAAGGTAATAGTTCCTTAAAGAGAAATTCTTTCTCTGCTCCCCCTTAGGCTTTGCAATAAAGATAGATAGATAGATGCTCTTTTATGGCCCAAAGTTTAAATTCATATTTAGACATCTGATTAAAGATGTTGCATTGGATATATGCTTAAATCTTCTTTCTTTTTAGAGCCAAGTAAAATAAAATAAAGAAGAAAAACAATATATTGAACCTACAACAAAGAAAATGGGAGGCAGGCTAAGCAAAAGAATTACTTAAAATTCAAACTAGGTTTCATTAATAGAGGATGTGAAATGGATCAAGGAAGTCCTGATTTGAAGTACTCATATAGGAGTATGTAGATATCTGAGCTGATTTAACCCCCCACAATCTTTTTTGTCTTGCTGAATAGCCATGTCAGATATGGTGGAGCACAGGAGTGAAACTTGGAGCCAAAAACAGGAGTAGTTGGCAGTCTGGTTACAGAACAGTCAACTCTTCTCTCTCTCCATCCCACCCTTAACATTTACACACACAGTGTTGGCAAGAAGGTATCTCCTTTAGCTGGAGACTGGAGTTTGTTCAGGGGGGAAATTGAATGATTTGGGGGGAAGTATTTACCACTTTGGCACTAGAGATCTCCCCTTATAAAAGATGATTTCCCACATGATAAAGCATACTCCAGTAATTTACCAGCCTTTCCCCACATCTATGATCTCCAAATCAGCTATCCATGACATTACTCTGAAATATGAGCAGCCAAACAAGGACCCCAACACATTTGAGCAAGCTCTCTATTGGTAGGAAGGATGGGGAAGGTAAGTGAGTGAACTAAAAGAAAAAAAGAGTGAAAATGCAGGGAACAGAAAAAACTTAAAAAGGAAACACCCCACCACCTGCCACCACCAACAACAACTCAAGAAAAGACTCTATGGACTGAAAAAAGCCCCAGGCTGACGGGACTGGATTGCCTTGATTGACATGGAAAGGGAGTCAGTAGACTATGTGTATGGGCAGCAGAGGCTGCAGCCCATTGTGTGGTTTTAACAACCAGAACGCAGGGCAAAAGCACAGTGTTTGTTTTCCTGTCTTGCACTTACAAATAAAGTCTATGGGAGTAGCATGGAAAATTTGCTTTTTTTCCCTTTTAAAAAAATTGCTTTTGTTTAAAATTTGATCGCCTTAACTACTGTAAACATAGCCTATTTTTGTGCCTAGGATACTGAGTGGAAAATTCCACTGTGTGTTGCTGGACTGTTTTGGAAATATTTGGTCAAATGTGCGTTAATTTGGCTTATAATGGCATTTAACACAAATTTAAAAAGCTGTGAAAATGGCCTTGGAGTATTATCTTTATTTACTTGAAGAGTTTCTAGCTTTTTAAAATAGTTTATGTTAAAAATAATTTTTATTAATTTAGAGAAGACAATCAATGTCCGTGAGAAAAATGGACTTTCTTTTGGATTTTCTTTTTGTGGTCATTGTGAGTTATTGCGTCTTCCTTTTCTTAGTTTCCCATTTTTCCTTTGTTCTAAAACTTAGGCTGACATCTAGCTTTGACAATCACAGTAAGTTTTACTTTCCTGAGGGGGAATATATAATATTATAAGTAATTATTATATTATAATGCTGTTTAGATTTGTACTAGTTTTGTACTTTAGATTTGGTGTGTTGGTGAATTTTTAAACTGTGTGCTAACTGCGATAAATTATATGAATTAAAAAAAAAGAAAATACATTTAATATCTACAATATAGAATAGGAACATGGAAGAGGGCTGGAGTCATTGAGTGAGCCAGTCAGTAAGGGTGACTGTCTGTCTTCTATGTGCTAACCTCATCCTGGAGATGGGTGGGAGTCAATTTTGTTTCTAGTGCTATTTGATCACTTTTATTCAGAGGAGTAATAACTTTTATCTGCCCATTGCCTCTTCACTGAGTAAAGCCTGCAAGGTGGAGAAGAATAGCAATGATGAGAACAGAAAATTACCCTCTTTCACAGACATTGAAAACAGATGCTATTGATGAAGTGATAGAGAATAATAACAATAAATATCACCTTCCATACTTGATGATGCTTTGTAGTTTGTAAAGCATATCTCTATTTTACATTCACATTAAATAACCCTGTTAAGTAGACCTTTTTTACATCTACCCTCTAGTCTCCAATCAATATTAAACCTACTCAGAACTGGACAGGTGTAATGAACTAACACATGAAAAGGGCTTCGCATGCCTGGCCCATAAGCGCTCAACACGGAGTAGATGCTACAGTGAAGATTAGGAGCCACAAAAATTACAAAGTGGGACAAAAATCTGCTCTTTGCTGTCATGACTCCTTTCTGTGCTTATTTTCTTTCTTCACTCTCCCTTTACTCTAATACATCTAACTTGTTTAGCCTCTGAGTGGCAATAGTCCCCTAGATACCCCTAGGTACTCTTGTTCCCTCCTTCTCAGTTAAAAGTGTCAGCCTGTGTCCCTTCCTCTAGCTCTTCAATCTACTGTGCCAGTGGTTTATACCATAACTCCAAAGTACCGTTTCAAAATCCCTTAAGAGTCCTTAAGATAGGACTTTTTTTCCAAACTGAATGGTATAAATGTAAGCCACAGTTAGTGAGGTATTTGGTAAAGTTGGAGTTTCTCTTGGTATTTCTGACTGCACTGGTAACCTAGAAAGTGGTTGGCTCCTTTGTTGTTCCAAATATCTTGGCACAGGATACCCATTTACTGACCCAAGGAAGATAACTCGTACTTCCCAGACTTGCAGAAATATGTTAAGAGTCGAGGGAAGAAAAGAATTTGCACTGAAGAATAAACTTTAATTTTCTTCAAATAGAGGAAGCAGCTTTTAGTCCCTCCAACCCAAAACTCTACTTCCTATCCTGGATCCACAGCAAATTTCCGAGGATGAAAGGAAGACAGTCAGAGATTCACAGCAGACCCGTGGGAGAATCTACCTTAGATAAATCTGATTCTCACCTAAGGACTTTTTGGTGTATACAGCAGGTGGATGGTGTCTTGGTGGCAACAGTGGCAGCACTTACACACTTGTGTTCATGTCCACGAGCACCCATCCTAGAAGGAAGAGAGGCAGTGGAGTAAGTGAGTTAGCACATCACATGTTTAAATTTATAGAGCTACACTACAGAGTTTACATTGATTTTTCTTCCTCAAATTAGTAAACGTGCATGTATGCAACAAACTAAACATTATGACATCAACAAAATTTATCGCAAAAAATCTGAGGAAAACTTTTGGCTAACTCTATTTTATTGGATCTTATTACAACGATTTTCAGCCAAATAATTCTTGTTTCACTTTTATTTTACAGGAAATAAACTAAGCATCCCATAGAGTTGGGTGATTGTGGAGTCTGCTGTGATAAGAATTAGCCATCTGCCGCATGCCTAAACAAGGACGTGACTGCCCAGATTCTAAGACAGCTTCCTGAGGATTCAGATGACCTCAGAAGAATTTTTATGGTAGAAATCAACTCTAAATGACCCATCTGCTAGTGTTCCTTGGTCCAAATTAGAGCTGCCCCAGCCATGGTAATCACAGACCAATGAGTAGAAGGGATCTGTGAAGATGTTGGCACCAAATGGATGTGTGCTCTGAGTGGTGGTGGTTTGTTTTCCTACATGAGATATAGTTTGTCAGCAACAGTATTATACTAATGACACACATGATCTTAGCCAAAAGGCCGAGAAGTGATGTAATATTATATTAATGAAAGGGAAGAGTGAAAATGATCATTTATAGATGATCTAATTTTATACTAAAAATATGAAAGAATTAAGAAAAACACTAGAATAAGGTGGATAAATACATTAAAATCAGCATGTCTAATTGTGATGTGGGAAATAGTGCAGATTTTGCTCAGCCATGATGACGAGCTTAATGACAGGATGTTGTCAGCCAGTGCTCAGTGACAGCCTGCCGTGTAAGCTCCATGGTAGCTCCTAAAGTTTGGGGGAGAATCCATATGCAGTTAAAGTCCTTCCTTTGATGAGCCCTCATCAGCCTACTGAAGAACAGGCTATCCAGGATGGACTTCCTAACTAGACATGATAATTAATTTGTCTACAAAACATACAACAAGATTCACCTTTTCAAATTGTATTTACCTTTCCCCTTCCCCTTTCTTTGACACATTTGGTTTCTTGATTACTTTCCTTGACAATAGTCAATTAATTTGTCTTCCTTATATTAGTAAATGTGCATGCATATAACAAACTAACTGTTATGACATCAACAATCAGTTGGATCTCTTAAAAAAAAAAAGAGGTCCCCTGGAAAAATAAACCAATCAAAGCCACTACCCCCAGAATCTGGCATTATTTTTAGTACAAGCGGTTCTCTCTTTAAAGTAAAAAGAAGGTACATGGCTGTGGTTTTGTTGTCATGTAACAAACAACCCCCAAACTTAGCGACTTCAACAAATTATTATTTTATTTGTTCTTGAGTCTATGGGTGAGTTAGGACTCAGCTGGGGAGTTCTGCTGCTGGCAGTCCCTGATACTTTGGAATTAGGTGGTGGATGGGGCTGGAACAGTCTAGAGATCTACAGTCACATGTCTAGAACATTATTGAAACGAGTTAGAAGATTGGAACTTTTCCATCTCGTCTGTGTCCCTTTGTCTTCTTTCTCTGCTCTGCCTTTCTAAGTTGGACTTCCTTACACACAGTGGAAAGGCTTTTAAAATACAATGTAATTCTCTGCAGCCATCATACTTGCTGATATCTCATGAGCTATAGTTCAGGTGGGCAGGGTCTATACAAGGATGTGAATATTAAAGGTGTGATTTTGGGACACCAACTGGCTTTCTCCATCTTTCAGTGGCATCTGTTCTATTCTGTAATGGCTAGTTTATTTTGGGGATGTAAGTATCTTTAGAACCTAGCATACCTAGTACCTAGTCATGCACAAATACACTTTGGATGAATGAAGGAATGAACGTGAGTAACTTATACTTGCTAGGACTGCTAAAGAGGAAGCCGAGATGTCAATTCTTCCCCTGGACTGTCTAGTTCCTGCACCTCATCTCTCTTAAGGTCAGTGTGAAATGTCCCAAAATACAGGAAGAAGTACCTCCAGTGAAGTTCTGTCTGCATTTATCACAGCTACACCAGTTTCTATGTCGTATCTCTTGCTGTTTTGGGGAAATATTTGAATTCTGCAAGCTGGTTGGTGCAGAGTAATTTTTCAATGAGATGGAATAAGACAAGAAATCTAACAATACCCAAGTCTTCACAGACCGACATGAGTTTGCACAAATGTGAGGAAAGCACAGCGAAGGGTGGGGCCCAGGAATAGGCTGGCTGGGAGGATCAGTTGTACCAGAGAGGATGCAATGTGAACAGGAGCAGAAGATAAAATGTTTCAGACCAGTGATATGCAGAAGGAGCTTGGTGAGGCTAGCTGAGAAAACTCTCCTTAAGCATATCACTCAATTTTTTGAAAGGCTATTATGGTTCAGTTGAAAAGACAGATGCACTCGAGATTATCGTTTTATGTGAAATAAATCAGACACACATTTTTTATAAAAATGTTGATGCATAGATATCACAAACCCAGCTTTGCTATTTCTGTATTTATTGTTGCAATACGGGCTGGAGTTTTCCTTCTCATGGCCTGTTAAATAAGAGGGGTAGAATAGCTCTGGAGGTGTCACTCTGGGCCCCTGTGCCTGCTGAGTCCCAGGGAGATGGGGTCCCTGACTTCAGCTCTCTCACCTCTACTTTCATCTTGCTTACATACATTTATGTGCTCTGCATAAGACCTTGTTGAGGAAAGGATTCTGCTACTAAAAAACATTTTGGTAAAGACAAATCCTTTCATTTCTGGAATTCTGTGATTCTTCTCAAAATTCCCAGACTCACTGAATGTTTAAGTATATAATTTCACTGCATCGTTCTCTCTGAGAAGAGAAAGAATACTCAAATAGATTGCATTAGAAAAGCAATCCCTGGTTTTTATGTAGTTTTATGTTTAATTTGATATCTATTTCTAGTGGCCAGCTGGGTTCCCAGAATGCCAACTACTTTCTGGTCTCAAGGATGGAGAGTGATTTACAAACATGTCTTTATAAGCTTTGTGATAATTGCCTTGCAAACTGTCTCCAGTTTCAGGGCCTTTGGAGTCTGAGACTAAATATTCCATTGTGTTTTGTATTCTTACTTAGCCCTCATTTTCAAACATTTGAGTTTTCTGGGTCTATTAAATAGAAGACTTTTGGTGTTTGAAAGTTAGTTTTTTGAATCTTAACTCATTTGTTGGTTGTCAGAATTCTTTCTTGGCTTGTGCACGTGAATGGGCTTTCAGTTATTCACTCAACACTAAGCCATGTGCCCAGTAGTGTTCTAGGCACTGGGGGTACAACTGTAAACTGGTTGAACTTTAGAATGTGCAAGCAGAGGAGGGAGACAATAAATAGTATGCAAGTAAGTCAGATACTTTCTGTAATGGTAAGTGCTATATAAAGAAAGTCGGTGAAGACTCTGCAGAGAAAAATGAGAATGAATGGGCCATTTAAAGAGCCATAGCAATGGAAAAAAGCTGAAAGTAAGGAATGTCCTAGAAAGGGAGAGCAAAAAGTACAAAGCCTGGAGAGAGGATGGAACCTCATAGCTCCAAGGGACAGAGAGTTGAGGCGGACTGGGAGGACTGAAGGAGGGAAAGGATGTTGGGAGACAAAATGGAGGAAGGTCAAATCGCTTCAGAGAAGGAAAGACAGGGAAAGGGGGTTTCATTTTGTTCCAAGCAACAGTGTTTGAAGCTGGGCTGAAACAATCTAATATTCAATTTTCGAAGCTCATTCTGGTAGCTGGGTGAAGAACAACTCTATGGTATTTCCGTACTTTGTCTTCTTAATAGCACCCATCTTAATCTGGAATTCATGTGGCCGTTTGTGTGTTTACTTGTTCATTTTCTATTTCTTCCACTCCCACACCAACTACGTGAAGTTCTAATGAGATGTTTTTGCCTATTTTGTTCACCTCTGTTCACCGAAATATCTGAGACAGTGCCTGGCACTGTCTTTGTGGAATGACAAGTGAATGTGTTTATTCATTTAGATAACTAAGCCTGTGAGGCTGTCTGTGGTATGGGACAGAGTGACTAAGCAGAAGATAATAATACTCTTGGTTATTCATCTGGCTGTACATGCTGCCCAAGGGACTATGTGATCCTTTCAGAGCCTTCCTTTAGCCCCTTATTACTGTATATACAGGTGCCATGTAATGACAATGGACTTTAGGTCCATTTGGGGAGTATGAGTACACAGACATGCATACCTACATGCATGCATGTGTGTGTGTGTGTGTGTGTGTGTGT